CTGTCTTCTTCATTTCAACACAGCTAATACCACACTTTGTCCAGATGTGATGCATCAAGAATGAGGGGATGTAGGGTTGGGAAGTTCATGCCATAGGTGCTCTTCTAAAGATCTCAGCGTCAAGGTCGGGGATCAAGGATTTGTAAAGTCTTGTGAATGTGATAACTCAAGGAGGAGGTCACCTAAGGTTTCCAACTTGATACCAGAGGTGTGTCTGCTGAAAATCTCAGATGAGTTTGCATCCCGCTGACCTCGTGGTCGGAGGACAACATCTCTGAAAATCAGCTCTGATTTTTAAATCCGTGTCTTTGGCTGAGGGGGAGTGCTGCAGGCCACCACGATTGATTTTATTTAAATCAACTTTATATTTGAAGAATTAGTTGAAAGGTAACAACTTGACATTTTCAAGATAAAGTCTTCACCATTACTTCTGTTGGTGTAGGATGCAGTTATACTCTTCACCATGCTATTTTTCTGGGTATTGGTATTAAAACTGAAACTGTAGTATTGTTACAAGCCTAGTGTCTCTGACACATCTGTCCTAAAATAAGCATCCTGGTTCATTTTGAGGGTAACAAAGGCTGTGACATTTAATTTTGTCAAACAGCTGCAGATTTAAAAGTGTGGAAGGAAAAAAAATCCTGAAAAGCATGAAGCTAACGTTTCACAACAATCATTATGTGCTCCATCAGGTCATGGCTGCTTTTCAACCTAAACCACTGAAACCTGAGCACATAGCTGTGTATACAAGGACACTGAGAGGTGCCACTGCTGTCATAGTATGAATACATGGACAGATATAGTTCTAGACTACTGGATTAGATCCGTGACCAGTAAGTAAAATAGTTTGTAACTTATTAACAACAATAATTTTAAACATTTAAATAAGAAATTACAAAAGAAGGAAAGAAAACCCAGCCTGGCTTTCACATCTTTCCTCGTGAGTTGAACAGATGTGATTTTCAGGACCGAAGATGTTGGAGGCAGCAGAGGGACGATGTGAGAAAGATGTCGTCCGTCTCTACTCTCATCCATCCGTACAGCATTTCTACACATTCACACGCATCACCATCGTAGCTGCATGCTGTCATGTGTCAAACGGACAATATTTGAGAATTAAGCAAAGCTTCCTTTGTTCAACAAGCACACGTAACTTAATTAGTACATTTCCTGCATTGGTACGTTTTGTGACTCAGGAGGGATCCGTTGTGATCCGTGTGCTCCTCTACGAGCATTGTGGAAGTTTCACCCTGCTGTGTGCGCTGTTAGTCTCAGACCTTTGATCAGGAGTTTCTTTCAGTGCGTTTCTGTGGAGGTGTGTGTATCTTAACAGGCTGACATATGTGATATAGTGTGTATGCAGCCTGCTTCTGTACGTGACCTGCATTAGCATGTGTGCTAGCGGGGTGGGAGAGGCACGACGAGCAGCGAGGAGGATGCTAACCTTTAACTTGCTGAGGCTCTCCACCCGTACGGCCTAACTGACCTCCAACACAAACTTTAGCGTGTGCGTTCATCCCTGCTCTGCTCTTGCTGCTCAGGAGCTTAATGTTGACCTCATTTTGTTGAAGGGTCTTGCTGTTACCTGATTAGTGTGATGTAGAGTCAGGAGAGGTCGTGTAGGGTGGTGGAGTGCAGGGTTGTTGTTGGGTGCTCTGCTCAGTCAACCACAGACACTCTTCATCACCTGCGGTGAATATCATGATGAATTAGTGTTGTCTGTGCATAAATAAGCACTAATCAGATTCACCATGACATAAGAAGAATGCTTTTGCTCAGCTTTTTGTCGCGTTCATCCGAGAACAGGAGCAACTGTTGCCTGCTGGACCATAGCTTCATGCTGATGTGCAGCTTTGGTCGGTCCTTGCTCTTTGAGATTGGCTTAGTCAGTACTTTGGAACAGTTTTAATAGCACTGTCTCTAGTAGAGCAACAGTGATTGAACGTTAAAGTGCCTCTTTACAGGGATGTATGAATGTAAGGGTCCTACATTAGCACCAATATAAACCCACAAACAGATGAGACGCAGGTGTTTTCAGACAAAGGAAAATGTGACAAAGCGATTACTTAGATCCAGGTTTGGCTGCTTGATCTTTTCTTTCCAAACTATCACATATGTGTCTTTCTTGATAATTCCTTCCACCTTGACAAGATTTCCAGTTCCAGATGGACTGAA